CCCCAAAACCCCAAAACCCCAAAACCCCAAAACCCCATAAATAATGTAATAATTGAAAATGGCTAAAATTGAAATGCTTGACTCTAAATCAGACAAATCTGATAGAGGTTCAGACAACGAAAATCAGGAGAGCAATGAAGAAAGGATCAGAAGAGAAAGAGAGCGTAGGAGGTTAGAAAGGATCACTAAAAAGACAGAAAGCACTAAGATAAATAAACCTGAGAATAAGATTCAAGGAATGATGTCTCGTAATGAACTGACTGCTTTAGAGCTCCATCAGATGTACAAGACAGATAAGAAGAAATGGCTAGATTCTTACAGAGGATTTCCATTAAGTATTTCATTGCAGAGCATCATGGCATCATTGATAGTCTTTCCTTTCTTGCTTGGATTTTTAATTTTTCCTTTCAAAGATATCAAACTCTGGAAAACTATCGCGCTTTGTATTGTGACATCTCTAATCTCTTATTATTACTGAATTAAGCTTATTAAAGATCTTAAAGGATACATGATCGATGCAAAGATGACAGGGAAAGATCTCAATAAGACTGGAACAATTGAAAGCAAACCAGCTAATGCAGAAGCTATGGGGATCATCACCTGCATTATCTTTTTGATGAATTCTATCATTATGGTATCATTATTAGATTTTGACAAAGACAAGCTACTTTTATTCATGACAGGACTTCTTTGCATTTCTCTCATGGTTATACTTGGATTCATAGATGATGTTGTCGCACTCAAGTGGAAATACAAGCTTATCTTTCCTCTCATTGCTTCATTTGCTCTTATTTTGGTCTATGACGGTAAAACAAGTGTTATTATGCCTATCCCAACAAGGTTCATTTTTGGGGAAGTTCTTGAGCTTGGAATATTCTATAAGATCTATTTTGTGATGCTGACTATTTTCTGTACAAATTCTATCAATATTCATGCGGGAGTGAATGGGTTAGAGTCTAGCCAAAGTATTGTTATCTGTGTTTTCACGATCGTTCATAACATCATAGAGATTAGCAGAAAGGAGACACAATCCATTTATGAAAACCATATTTTCTCATTGATCTTGATGATCCCTTTCTTATTCACCTCTTTAGCTTTGTTGAAATACAACAACTTCCCAAGTAAGATCTTTGTTGGGGATACATACACTTCATTTGCAGGAATTGTTTTTGCAGTATGTGGGATTCTCGGGCATTTCTCAAAGACTTTGCTTTTGTTCTTTATCCCACAAATTATTAATTTTTTGTTATCTCTTCCTCAATTGTTCAAATTTATCCATTGCCCAAGACACAGGATGCCTAAATTCAACAAAAAGACTTACAAAATGGAGTGAGTTGATAACCATTTCACTCTGATCAACGCTACACTCAGAGTGTTTGGCCCAATGAACGAAGAGCAGGTCAATATCAGCCAGACTTTGTTCCAGATAGCTTGATGCTTGTTTGCGTTCTTTATCAGATATGGCTTGGCCCAGTTCTTCTTCTAGATAACACGTATTCAACTTCTGGAACAGAATCTGGGGTTTTGGGGTTTTGGGGTTTTGGGGTTTTGGGGTTTTGGGGTTTTGGGG